TGGAAGAGGGTTAAAAAGACGTTGCTTTCCTAGTGTAAAGTTTTCTTAACCAAAAACTTGGTGAATTTAGCTTCACTAGTCAGTCTACCTCATGTTATTGTTTATGAACTGAAACTGTCTGCAGTTGTGGCTATGGTATGTTTATAATGTGCTTTCATTAAATTTGAATATATTAAGACGTTACCATTTAAGACTGCCCTTTTTTTTTAAAAAAAAAAAAAAGATTAAAACGTTAATTTAGGTGGCTGGGCAGGACACAAGATTCCTGCAGCTCTTCAGCCATGGAAGTGCTGCCACCCGAGAAACGCACGTGCTGACGGAGCATCGCTCCCGCCAGGAGGTGCCCCTCTAAGCTCAGCCAGTGCACGGCCCGTCCTGCAGCCCTGCCTGCCTGGGCGCTTCGTGTGAGGCTCAGGCGGACACGGGACAATGGGCATGAGGTGAAACGCAGGAAGCTCCATCTCCAGGTGAGGAAGAACTTCTTCCCCACAGGCTGCCCAGGGAGGTTGTGGAGTCTCCTCTGGAGGTCTTCCAAACCCACCTGGATGCCGCCTTGTGCCCCGTGCTCTGGGTGTCCCTGCTGGAGCAGGGGGGCTGGACGGGATGATCTCTAGAGGTGCCTCCAACCTCGGCCCTTCTGGGATTCTGTGAGGGGGTAAACCACAGGGCTGCCAGTAGCCCCAGCCCTTGTCCCCCTGCCTGGGGGGTGTGGGCGCCTCGGGGGTCTGCTGCGGCGCGGCCGGGCACAGGGCCCCAGTGCTGCCTTCACACGCGAGGCTCAGGCTCTGGGGGAGCGTGCACAGAAACCCAGGCAGCTGTTCTGCCTCTTTGCTCCTCAATTAAACTAAAAGCTTCACCCACGCTTAAGCCTTCCCAGTTTCACCTTAGGGTGTTCAGCTGCTCTCCACCACCCCGCTCCCTTTTCCCTGTAAACACGACTGCAGCACGGGCCTGTCCCTGGGCGGCTGCGGCAAGGGGGCAAGTGCCACAAGGGACCTTTCCCCGGCACAGGGCAGTGTCACCGTGTCCGGACCCCCGGGTGCCTGCGGCCGCCCGCGCAGCACCACCAACCCTGCCCAACCCTTCATTCCCACGGAGCATCAATGCGGAGTAACCTTAGAAAAAGCTATCAAGTATTTTATTTTTAACTATCTACAGTATGTACAGATCGAGAAAGGCCACAGCAGTTTTTTCAACATACAAACCCTTTAAAAGAGGAGAGCTTTGTGGAGGGCAGCGACACGGATCAAAGGGCCGGCCGCCCAGCCCCGTGCCGCACACGCAGCGCAGCAGCGGCGCCAGCAGCAGCCCCACAGCCCCTCCCGGGGGGCAGCAGCACAGGGGGCACCCGCCACAGCGCCCCATGGCACACGGGAGCCTCTGGAACGGCTGCGGAGCCTCTGGAGCAGCTGCCGAGATCGGGACTCGGGAGCGGCTGCAGAGAGCGGGGCCTGGGAGCCCCCCGGCCAGACTGCGCTCCGGCCTCCAGTCCACTGGGAGCAAGGTTCTGCTGCATGTAAACATGACTAACTAGATAAAATACAATCAAACTTCTGTAAAAGTTAATAAAATATCTTTCTTTAAAAAAACAAAGTTAGCCTACTACTGCATTGTTTACAGTTTTAATAAAATAGCACAACCTTTTGGTTGTTCCCAGTCCTGAGTTGACTGTAACAAAAGTGGCCCTGGCTTGTGCCCACGCTCAGGGCTGGTGCTGCCCGTTGAGGAAGTTGTACACGAGGAAGCGGCCGGTGCCGCAGTACTGCGTGGCAAAGAGCTTCCCGTCGGGCGTGGGGTCGGAGAAGGCGATCTCTTCCTTGCTCAGGTACGAGCCGTAGATGAAGTTGCTCCTGTTGAACGGGGAGAATCCAGCCGTTACTCTGGGGAAACGAGCGCTTCTCGCCGCGGAAAGTCACCCTGCCGCAACGCTGGCAGGGCTGCGCAGCCCTAGCCCGGCCTCTTCCTCTGCCGTGGCAGTTTGGGGACAAACAAAACACACAACTGTGTCCCTTCCTTTCTCTCTCTTTTTCTTAAACCCCAATCTAGTCATATGTTTATTTTAAGTGTTTGATAGCAAATTTTAGAACAAAAGTTCACACAGGGCAACTTGGTGCAAGTTGCATGAGGAGTTCAAAAAAGCCCAGGTCCCAGCTCCTTCTTTATCCATGAAGGAACTCGCTGTGATTACAAGTGCCCAAAGGAAATCTTAGGCTACAAACTGAGGGGGATAAACTGCAAGTAGAGGGGGTTGAGAAGACGGACACTCCGCCCTGTGGACAAGAATCCACTTTGGCTTCATCCGGAAGATCCGGGCCCCCATCCCCGCTTCCCGCACTGCCGCTAGCTTCCCAGCTCCAGGTACAAGCGGCGCGGGCGCCTGCGCTCCCGTTGGCGCTGCCTGATTTTCCAGGGGGCAGCCGAGGGGCGCGCGGGCCTTACCTGAGGCACTCGATCATGCGGGAGGCCACCCTGCGGCGCCGCATCATGCTGAACACCCAGATGCGGCTGATGCCGCAGATGGCCGGCTCGGGGCACGTGGAGCAGCACCAGGCCTTCTGCCGCTCGCAGATGACCTTCTCCCGCTCCGAGCTCACCTCGGGCACCTTCTCCTCTATCACGCGGTAGCCCTGCAAGGGACGCCCACGCGTCGGTACGCGGGGGGCTGCTCGAGCGGCAGCGGCGCGCGCTGCGGCGGGCGCGCGGCCAGCGCTGCCCGCGCTGAAGGCTGCCCCGCTCTGCCCGCACTCCTGTCTCTGATCAGCTTCACCACAGCAGGTCGTAAAAGGAAAGAGATTACACCAAAAACACCCTCTAAGCCCTATCTGTGATCTTAAATCAGACAAATACGGACAAAATGGACAAAATCTGATCATTATCAGCTGCCGTTGCCGAGAGCTTTCCTGCACTTCTCTCTCTCGACCCGGACTATTCGGCTTCTTGCCTGCAGCTCCTGTGGGGCAGCGGGCAGAGCGCAGGGGAGCGCTCCGAGGAGGGCACGGGGCCGACGAGCGCCCTGCCGCTGTGGGGCAGCCCGGCCCCACACCCTGCTCCCCTCCGGCCCCATCCCTGCTCCCCTCCAGCCCCACACCCTGCTCCCCACCCTGCTGTTCCTGAAGACACCACCCTGAGTTCCCGTCCCAAGTGCTTCCCTGTGACCACTTACCCACTGGATGTGCTCTGCAATTAAGCAGCCAATAACTTTTTTGTCGTTCGAAATAAAAAGAAGAGTTTTAGTTCTGGAGTAACACATGAGCGGAGCTTGCTGGAAACCCAAGTCATTATCTACCATCTCTCTGATCTCCTCAACCTGCCAAAATAAGTATAAACACCGTATGAGAATTACACCTATAAATATACACTTGGGAGAGTTAAGCATGGAAAGTACGGGTTTAGAGGAATGCCCTGCAGGACTGGGAATGCTGTTCCCAAGGCCGGGGATTAGCCTGGCTAACTGGCAGGTCAGGTACACAGCGTTCAGGTGATGCTTGGCTGGAAGCAAGAAGAGCGGATCCCTCTTGTCTCTTCCCATTGGATCTGAACTCCTACCAGAGGCTAAAACAGAGGATGAGATGGGCAGAGGGAGGCGCGACGCCCCCGGAGCCGAGGCGGGACGGGCGCTGGGTCCCACGCGGATCGGCCGTGTCCCACATGGATGGGCTGGTGCAGGGCGCACAGGGCTGCCCATCGTGGCCGCCCCAAACGCCTCTGCTGCAAGAGGAAACCTGCTCTTTCCACCAGACCAACTTGGAGAATCCTGCTAGGCTAAGGAAAAGCGGCTCCAGTCAGCAGCGCAGAAGGGGCTGGCTTGGGAATCAGTTCAAATTCCTGACTCGTGGCGTTTAATTTATAACCTTTACAGCTTGCTGCTTTTCAGCATAGCTAGTAACACAGTGCAATCAAGAATGCAGAAAAAGAGGAAAAAAATCTGGCTTCTAGCAGGTGGAGCACAGAGCTCGGTCTGCAGGGACGAGCGGCCGGCGAGGAAGGGCTCTCAGGAGCCTCTGGCCCCATCTCCTGCGCAAAGGCAGGGGCTGCTCCGGGCTTTGCCCGCATGGAAAAACCTCCTTGGAAACCTCCAGGGACAGAGGCTCGAAACCCCCTGGGCAACCTCTGCCCTGGCCCGGCGCCCCACAGCGAAGGAGGGTCTCCCTGCGGCCAGTCTGAATCTCCCCCTCTCTCTCTCTCTCTCTATTCCAACGGGGAATTGGAATAGAGGTTGTCAGACAACGGGGTTGTCTGGGCTGAACAAGCCCCGTCCCTCATTGCCCTTCTCGTGCCCACATTGGGTTTTGGGAGGACTGGTTTGGTCCGTGACATTCCCAGTTCCGCCGTCCCCATCCCCGATAAAACGCTTCCCGACAGCGTGGTGTCAGAGGAAGCTGCTCGCTCCGACAGGCTGCGGCCTTCGGCAAGGTCCGGGGGTTTCTTAGGGCCTGCTGTGAAAACACCCGCTGGCCCCAGCAAACCAGGAGCTAAAATACCCGCCGTGAGGCTACACAGGGGGGAGACGGGCCCAGGGCCCCGCAGGGGCTACACACACCCAGGGCCTTGGGCCCCAAAGTCCTGCGCCCCGTTTTAGATGAAGCGCTTCAGGAAAGGACTGGAGACTTGGAGTCCTCCAGGCTTCTCAGGGCTAAACAACTGCAGGCTGTTCAAACCCGTGAAAGCTGTTCGAGAGGGGAGAAGAGGGGTATTTTCTGCAGCTGTGTAAGATATATCTTGTATTCACGAGCCTGAACTGCAGTGCAGAAATTCCCTCAGACATTTAGGGAAAACCTCCTGATGTTAAGGATAGCAAAGCCCTGCAGGAGAGGCCGAGATTCAGGAAGGCCTCCAGAGGTGGAAGTCTTAGGAAGATCCCAGTTCTGGTTACGAGGCACCTGACTCGGTTTTGGACAAGGCAGCAAAGTAGATGTCTCTGAAGCCAATGCTCACCTGAATCTCTCTT